GCCGGACGGCACAGGCAAAAGGGAAGTCACTCTAAGCGCCGGCTGCGTTCACGGAGGCCATGAACGGAGGGATCTTACTGCGAGCCCCTTTGTGTTAAGCATCAGATTTTTCCTTCCCTTTGCTCGGAGCAGCTCGCTGGGTAACGGGCTGGCCTGCGCGGGGGCCGCGTCCCCTCTGAGCACGCACCTCTCACCGCAGCGATGCTCCGAACGCAGGCAGCACCCTGCGGCTCCACAATAACCTGCCTGTTTTACACTTCCAGACTCGCAGCCCTGCCAACTAAGAGGCCTTTTTTAAACCCGCCTGGAGCCCAGCACAGAAGGGCCATTGTGAAATCCCCAAGGTGCCGCAGTGATTATTGACACAGAAACTTCACCTTAAAGCTGGAGTCAAGGGAGCCGGCGAACACACGGCCACTGTTCTCCGGCAAGCCCCAAACAAGCGCCGTTTGCTTTGCCCTGCTGGCTTCTTTTAAATGAGAATGAATTCATTTAAATAAAAAGCTAGATTTATCCTGAGGCGTGGGGCCCAGGTGTGTTGCTGTTCAGAAAGAAATCACTGAGCAAAATATAACTTTAAAAAGTTCAGAAACCCTAATCAAACCTCTGAGTAACAGAGTGGGTGAATCAGCTCTCTTGTGCTCACGGGGAGCGAGCCTGTGGTGAAATCAATATACAGAACAGGAAAGAAACAAACAGTTGTCTACCCTGGCTAGGATATGATCCCAAAGTCTCTTTAAAATAATCCATGCTGCCTAAAAATAGTGGGACTTCTAAGAACTGCAATGGAAACATGGACAAGAACATGAATCAAGTCGTAAAAAAGACAGGACACTTCTTTTAAATAATAATAAAAAAAGAAATAGCAAATCAAGAACGGCTGACGTGTCCTGACCTTCCTACTGACATACAGAAGCATACGGGAGCAGGCCCGCCTAATCCACCATCGGAGCCAGCGCAGGGGGCTCTAGTACAGGCATGGATGGGAAACTTTGGGGGTTCTTTTATCTTCAGGATGCGCCTGGCCTCTATATTGCCTTATTTGAGCACCTCATAATCATTAACGTATTATCTTTACAATATTCATGGGAAGCTGGAAATTACTGTTCAACCCACTTTTGCAGGTAGTTAACCGAGCCTCAGATAAACTAACTCCCTTATCCAAGCTCACAGAGGAGATCAGTGATTTGAACTCTAACTACTATCCTTCTGCTAAGGCCTTTGGTAAGAAAGAAGTCCCGCTTTTTCCTCAGCAGTAAGTCCTGAGGTTTAATTTTCCTGCACTTCCACCTGCCTTGGCAGAGTTGGCCATGGTGGGGCTCCATTCTCGTCAGTCCCTCAGATACTTTTTAGTTTTTTTGGTTTTTCTTCCCTGTAGAATTCAATACAGGAATTGTAACATTCTAAGTTATACATCGCTTTGGCCCCCTCCAAATGATGTGAGCAAAGCTAGACACCGACCCAAAAATAAATTTTGGAGGTAGGCTGGATGCTGAAGGCCCCAAAGGTTAGGATTATTCTTCTGTAAGGTCTGTCTTGGACACTCCGGTGCTACAAATGAGGGATTGGGACGCCCAAGCTACAGGTGCTCCCCAAGCCTGCTTGTGTTCTCTGGGATGCTACCAGCTACACAATGTTTGGGGGCCCTGTTATACTACGGTTTCACATCTCTGAAAAAGGAATTAGAAACAGGCATCTTCATTTCCTTACCCTGTCACCAAACTCTCCACGGATTCCAGTTGGACCAGGAAGGCCAGGTTCCCCACTGGCACCTTTGGGACCCTGTCAGGAAAACAAACAAACCAAAAAAAAGCATAAAAAGGCTTTACAGCATAAAGTGACAAGAAACCCTTGACATCCTGAAGTTCACCAGTTTCCATAACTGCTTGCTGACGGTTCCCTGTCTCCAGGCCCCAGGAATTTCCTGCTTATTCTGACTTCATCTCCTGTGCTGTGGACAAGGAAATACTTTGTTTTATTGCAGATGAACTTTCTGGGCAAGCAGCCTTCAGGCTCCTCAAAGCCTCTAATACCTGGTTTAACAGCAGAAGGCTTTGCAGAGTATTCCTAGAGAGGGCACAGCCTGTACTGGCAAAATCCTGCTTTGGTTGGTACGGTTTATTCCGACTCCTGCCCCACCACCTTTCCCAACCACAGTCAACCATACCGCCAAAGTGCTCCAGCTTTCTGCTGGCCTAGCTCTTTCTCTAAGAAAGATCACATCTACAGCTCCTGACCAATATAGCGATGCTCACAGAAGCAAGCACTGTGCACTATATTTCAACCAGATAGGCAGGGGATGTCTAGGTGGAAGAGAAAGTAACATGCCTTTATGTAGATCAAACTCGAACCCCTTTTTTGTAAACAAACACCAAATATCATTTCCTCTAGGAGGCAGCTCATCTGGCCCTGTTTCCTTTCCACTGCACCATGCCAATAAAGGTGTTAACTGGGTTCTGGCAAATGGAAAGACATTTCCTCTTATCACTTGTTACCATCATGCATTATCTTGCCAGAGGTTTGCATAAAACAGAGGCCTACCAGGATGCGATGCCTATTACAAGACTCTTGTTACCAGCATACTGACCTGAAAGCCCCTTACACCTGGGGCTCCCATTGGACCTTGAAGACCAAGTGGGCCCTGAAAGAAGAATGAGCATTGGTTAGAAGATAATTCAGGGCCAGTTAAGTCCCACGTGTAATTAAATTGACTCAGTTCTAACACAGAGGAAACATGCAGTTTTGCGCTGCAGAACATTGTTCCCAGTGGCAGTGCTGATGAACAGCCGTTACAGTGGTCCTTAGTGTATACTGAGCTTTATTAATATTGCTACCATTAACAAAAATGCTTGTTTCTATATTATTAATGCTTAAAAACATACTCACGAGCAGGAAAGATCAGTGACAGCAAAAGGCGGAACCATGACATAGCATGGAAAATATACATTAAAGGGATCTGCCATCTCAGTATTAAGCATTTAATTGGTCCAGTTCTGCAAGAAACTGCTGTAAAATGTGTGCTGCATGCACTCAGACACACAAAATGGCAATTGCATCCACTTGCTTGGGCATATTTTGTACCTGCAATATAGGAAACACAGCCTCTTAGGCTTTCTCTTAGCGCAGGTGCTTTTAAAAGCCCAGCACTCTGGAGAGAACATGAACATTACCATTAGGAGTCTACTGCTTTCTACTGAGAAAATCAGACACACGATAAAAATCTTGGGTAAAATAAAAACCTAAGTTATTTAGACATCTAAATCCAATTTTCTAAAGTGTCATTTTGAAATAGGTGCCTTAGGCAAACTTCTGCGACAAAGCGGGACTTCAGCTTTGTCTCCTTTTGCAGTCATCTCTGCCAGCTGCAACGCAGAGGGATTCCAATAAATTTTAAACTGGCCACCTCAGTCAGCATGGCTTATCCAATATACTCAAAAAGCCAAGTATCCATGGGACTGCAAGGCAGGTGTGTCCTGTGTCAAAACAGCATCGCTATCTTCTTTGCCTGCGCAACTCTTCCAGATTTATTTACTGTAATATTTAAAAGTATTTATGTGTATTCTTCCCCTAATTTTTAGCCCTACAAATTCACCTTGGTACCCAGACACCCACTGTCTTATTTCATTTCTTCAGGTCATCACCAAGAGGAAGAGGAAGTCTGCACCTTTGTGAAGGGTGACTAAATTTACGATCTAAACCAGTCACCTTATCCTTGCCCGGCTGACAAAATCAGTGTGGTTGCAACTTTGTACAGAAACCAGGGTCTGCCCAGAGCTAGGAGCCTATCTGCTTAAATACACCACCACCACCTTCAAAGAACCAGTCAACTACTAAGGTATTTTGGGGGTTATTTTTTCCATTTTTGTTTTCTGTTTCTAATTCAACAAGGAAATTTAGAGTTATAAAGACAGAGCTCTATCAAAGTGGCATTAAATTGTGTCAAAATTACTTTGCTGTTCTAGTGCTTTTAAAATTGTTGGCACTTGGCAGATCCTGAGGGCCTCTGAATATAAAGTAACCCTTGATTTGTTATGCTAAGGAAAGCCAAATTAGTTTAAGTCAAATAGTCTTAACACTGGACAAATCCTGCATCTCTATTATAATAGCCCAGGCTTAAATACGTTTCCTATAACTTCGGAATCTAACAACACAGATCAGTAGAAATAAACATTGGTGCAACTGCTATTGCATCCACTGCAGAAGTCTGCACCAATACAGTCAGATCAATTATATTTGCTCTTTTTGTCAGGCATCCAATTTTGATGAAAAATTTGGAGACATGAAAGCAAACATTATTACTTTAGTTTATTTCTAAGGCCGATTTCCCTTTCCTTGGAGGTTTGAAGAGCAGCTGCTCACAAACAACAAATCATTATACTGTTCAATTTCTTCCAAGTGGCACATACCAGAAATCATGTTAGACTTGCTGTAGGCTTCTGGATTTCAAAATGAGGTATTAAAAAAGAGGCACAACAAAAACCCTAGAAGGTCAGGTCCAACCACAATAGCAACAGTAGTCGAGGAGTGAGAAAATAAACAGTATCCTAGCATTTTTAATACTGTGAACAACAACAATAAAAAGTTTTTATCATCTGCTGTTTAGTAGGGACACAGCTGGCAGCCATGTAGTTATTTTCAGAAGGTTTGCATTGCAGTTCCTATAGCTCTTTATTTCTCAGGCTCTGAGAAGACGCAGGGAACGGAATGAATGCAGGAATAAAACGCTCCATCGAGGACCTCAACGGATTCCAACCCTCAAGTTTCAGAACGCCGTTAGTTCATGGCGTAAAAGTGAAAACTGTCCCGGCTGCACACGGGGTTTTGTTTCCTAGTGACTCACACCACATTCACTTCCTCTGCAAGCTCCTGCCAGGATGATGCTATGGCAGGAAGGGGAGGGCAGATGAGATGGGGGATGTGTGAACAGATTCCCCATCTGAAAATTGTTTTGGCCTCATACCATATGGTTGCAAATTCTGGGGTGTTTCCAAGCAGTTGTGCAAAGCATGCAACTTGGTGCAAGAAAGGTAAGAGGTTGTCAGCAGTTCTACAAACTCTGGAACACGTTTCAGACTCCTGCCATGCAATAGGGCAACATGCAGGCTTTCCAGTTTTGTTGCTTATTTGGCTTCAGGTTTTGCAATAAACCTCTACCGCTCCAAGGAAAGCCATACAGGAACAGGAAGGATTTCACGTTTCACATGCTGGTGGCTATGCAGCTGGAATAGCTTAACAGGCGTATTATTTCATTAACAACTCACACTCAGCACAAGCTGAACTTCATTACCTGATCAGGGAGTTGCTGACCGTCCAGTCTCTCCTGCACTGACTCTAGCAGCCCTACAAACTCCTTGACCAACTTTGGCTTTCTCTGCTATATGAAACAGGAGGAATCACTTTGCATCTGCACAGAACTGTCAGTGAGAGCAGGATCTGACCCACTCATGAGGGAGTAACTCCTCAGCTGCTGAAACTCCCTAGAGACAACACCCACAGAGAATACGGCCTTTTATTTTATCCAGGCATTAATCCCGCGGTCCAAGCTCTATTTTGGTATCTATTTGATTTACACTTTAGGAAGCGGTTATGTACTTACAGTCGCTCCTCTGGGTCCCGGCAGGCCTCTCTCACGGTCAGCCATGCCATTTGGGAGCAGCAAATCCACCCTCCACAACCCACCGCAGCGCCAGGTCATTTCATTCCCCAGCTCCCTGCCCACTGCTGCATTCACTAGGCCACACAGCCCACCTTGGGGGGCTTGCACCTCTGCTGCAGGGTACGCATATCTGTGCCTGGAAGCGGCCATCTGGCTGGACCGCACCATGCTGGCTAGGCAGCTTCCCCACAAGTGTGGGATGTCTGAGAATGCCCATCACCGCGGGCGGGCACGTGTTATAGGAGGCGCAGCATCGATCTTGTTACTAAATGCTTTTTTTCTGCAGCATCTGAGCTCCAGCTTCATGTTTTGGTTTAAAACACACTCAGCAGAGCTCATGACAGATGCAAGTCACAGGGTTACGTACAGGGATGCCAGGCTCTCCGGAGGGACCTGCCTCTCCCATCTCTCCAGGACTGCCCTGTAGAGGAGAAAGTAAACACTAAGTTGGGGCATATATTCAGACAGTCACTTCTGTCCTACACAGGGCAACAGGATGGGAAACGAAGGAGGGAGTTAAAACTTGGCTGAGGAAATAAAAACTGACTTAATTCTTTACAGTTTTAAGACTAGGAAGGGAAAGCGCTATACAATGGACATTTAGAGAGTGGGTGAGCTGTACCTCCTGCCTCAGGACTGGTGACTAGGGAGGGTTGTCAGCCCCAGGATGGTGCTACCACATCCCGTCTCAGTGGTCTGACAAGACAGGGATGCTCAGGAAACCCCGCTTCATTCATGCTTGTGCCACTGTTGTGCAAGGAGAAATGTCTTCCTGCAGCTATCTCATATGCATGAGGATTATGAGGATTAGCAAGAATAATAATGCAGGTGCAGAGGGGGGCAATACAGAAAGGAACAGGAGGGACAGAAAGACAACACTTTCCAGAATTGCTTTGTGACAGATTGCTTTGGTCTGTCTGAGATTTTCTTTCATCTCACATGGAAGTGCCAATCTAGAGCTCTGTGGTGGCTTTTCTCCTGGTGTGTGTGGGTGGGAGGTTGGGGGGTGTGTGTGTGAAGTCTCCAGAAAAGAAGAAGAGAAAATCCTGCTCCTGCTTGCAGACGCTCTGTTAGAGCCCTTTAAATCTCAAAAGACTAATATTACTCTCAGAACATTGACAAAAAGGGGCATGCTTCCCTTCCTGAGATTTACCAAAACACTCGTGACCCCTCTATGTCTCTGATATGTCTTCAATGAAATAGGTGCAAGAGCTGTCTCAAAAAGAGCAGAGCCCTGTCAGTTGTTGTTGTACCTAACATCTGCTCATCGCTGCCAGGTGAACTCAACCCAGGCAGGAAT